TAGTCTGTATTAGGGTTTTCCGCCAATTCGAGATTTTAGTGGCTAATTTTTCATCAATTTAGTCAACTCTTTATTGCAGTCCATATATGATTATATACTTAATCCATGATAATTCTATGATTTATTCTGTGTGATGTAAATTTAATGGTCAACATAAGTTCATACGGGGAAAGAACATCTCAATATTCATAAATTGATGAAAACAATGAAAGTTAATAATGAAGTACCCTCATTTCTTATTGGATTCCTTAAAAACAACATTTATAATGAATTTTAATAATTTTTTCGGATTTTTTTGAAGCTTTAATCCGACCGATTCAGCCGATTCCCGATCCGGATCGTCGATTCCCGATCCGGATCGCCGATTCCCGATCCAGATCGCCGATTCGCCGTTCCGGATCGGTTTTTGAGGTGCTCGATCCGGGTCACCGATCCGCTTTTTAAACCATTGGTTTTAACACATTTAAAAAAAAAAAATGTTTCTTCTGGTTGACTTAAAATGGAGTATGTAACGTGGAGGAACAGGTTTTTCTCCACCATTCATTACTGAGGATGAGGCTGGAAAGGAACATATACTTAACCTACTATGAAAAATTGCTTATAGTATATTTTCTCTTGAAGGAATGTTTTCTAATAATTGCTAAACCCAAATTGCTTGGAACACCTGTATGAATCATGCAGGAAATGCAGAAAACCTTCAACCCCAAAAAAGGTGCCTGAATTTTTTTTTTATTTTTTGAGTAAATTAACTGCTGTATTAATAAAATAAAAGGAGTATAAAACAGATCGTGTACAGATAGAGCATATACATGATTGGGCAAGCCCGCTTGTCAGGTGCCCTGTACAAAAAGCCCCCAAAGGGCCAAGACAAAAAAACTCTACATCGAAACAGCTTAAAAAAGGGAAAAGGGGGACAGGATAGAAACTTGAAATTGCCTACAAGCCCCGAGGACTGTTAAGGCTTGCGCCTTGCCTAGCTAGAGCGTTGGAACCAACGTTGGCTTTCCTAAAAATGTGTTTCCAAGTGATTCTTAAGGTATTGGACATAAAAGCTATTTCGTTGAAGACATGCTTAAGTCTCCACGGGCAGGGAGCAGCACCGGTAGCCCAAGTGATTATGTTTGTAGAGTCGCCATTAGCAACCAGGTCCGTGTTCCAGCTAGGTTCAAACATTCGAAGCCCTTCAAGCTAGGCCAGAGCCTCTGCACTGGTAGAATCAGATGAGCCAATGGGTAGGGAGGGAGAAGGAAAGGAGGGTGGAGCCTTCAAAGTTTCTAAAAATGCCTCCAACACCGGAGGGGCCTGGGTTGTCAAGGGAGCAACCATCAAAATTGAGCTTTATAGGCGCATCTTCAGGCGGCCTCCACAGAGAAGAACGAGGTTTTCCTTTGGGCCCTGATGTTCAAGAGGTTATGCATGTTGTGGAAGAGGTCGGTAAAAGAGAAGCTTCTGAAGGTACTGTGGTTCTTGGTGCCTGAATTGTATATTTAAATCAGTGAGCGGCCTGGATCAGTCATTGTTTGGAAAATGACTATTTTGGTTTGGTGTTCATAATGCTGGAAAAGTGAGGTTACTTTGCAAAATTATGATTTTGTCATGTTTCAGGTTCTTTATGATACTTATACTTAGATGGTACCTCTTTTTCTTGAGAAAAATTGACATTTCGCTTAGATGGTACTTCGATATTCAACTATTGTACTAGGAGGAAGCTGATCTTCTACCCAAAGAAAAAAGGTCTGGTTAAGCACATTCCTGAGATTCCAAGTCTGAAGATCCTGCACGACATATTATATGTTCCAGCAGTGTTTCGATATTTCCCACCTAATTTTATGTTGGATAATCTTATTCTTCAGAAGTTCAGTTCATGTATTAAGATACTGTGACTCATCCATTCTTATTGGGTTTTTGGATAACTGCTTGGGTCTTCTGATTTAGAAGCTTTTCTAGATGTTGGAAATGCATTCATAAACTACACTATTCAATTCTATTTGTAGCCTTCTCAGCATGCGCGCACACACACACACGTATATGGTTTTATATTCAGAAGCCATCTAATTGAAGGAAAGAGTTGATGTTATCTTTCAATTGGGTTCTCATTGTTTCTTGTAGTAAGATCCTTTGTTCACTCTATGCTTGTAAATGTGCAGGTAGGCGAAAGCCTGAACCTGATGCATACTTGGAAGTCCTTCAACATCTTGCAGTTGATCCAGCAAGTTGTGTCTTCATTGATGACAGGTTTGTTTATTTTATTGAGACATTTATAGAAGTGGGGTTTCTATTGTTTGATTGTGTGGCTGCTGAAAGAAAGGATGAACTTTAGTTTAGAAATGAGTCTCTCTCTCTCTCTCGGAGATAACATCTTATCAAAGAGCAGAGATGGCTCAGCTTAACTTGCAACTGATCCACTTGCTTATATTAGTGAAACCAGTGTTTTAAAAACCAGACCGTTGGCTCGAATTGGTCACCCACCAGTTCCGAGCTGGCTCAGAGTAGCTCGAGCCGGCTCGCCACTTTTATGGGTTTTTGTATAGACAAGTTGTGGGGGGGTGGGGGGGAGGGGAGGTGTAACTATTGGGAACCAAGGCAAAAACCAGGGGGGGGGGGATTTAAGATCCAGACTGGCAGGCCAGTGGTTCTGAGCAGGATTGGGCTGTCAGAACTGGCTCGGCGATTTTTAAAAGACTGAGTGAAACCTTAATCTTCAACTCTTATATGATCATGTTCTTTCCCATCATAATTAAAGATGGAAACGAAGTTTTAACTTGTCATAGTAATCGTTTCTTTCATTAACTATTTGCATTTACCTTATTTTTCCACATTGAAGTATTGATTACAAGTTGGTTCTCTCTTCTTCTTTTCCCTTTGTTCAGGGAGACAAACGTAGAGGCTGCAATAAACACAGGAATGAATGGAATACATTTCAAAGGTGCAATGGTGCTTGAACAAGAGCTCTTAGAGTTAGGAATCGAAACAGGTGGGTTGGAGCCTAGAACCAGAACTGACGTCTCTTCTTTATCAGAGAAAGATACGAGGACCTGATTAATGATGTCTTTCATTGCTGGTTTCGCTAGCTACTTCTGCAATAATAATAAGTTGTTGGGTGGTGAATAAATAATATTTTGCAATTATCGAACACGTCACATGTGCAAAGTGCTATGAATCTCTCTCTCTCCGAGCATCACCACCTTAGGTCCATAACCTTTACTCCTCTCTCCACCATTGCTTCTATGAGTGTTAATTTGCATATATGTACCACCATTGCTTCTATGAGGGTTAATTTGCATATACGTACCCCCATTATCACCACGACTCTCCCTCTCTCTCTCTCCACCCACTACTTCCACTTAAAGAGTACTACCAAATCTCTCTCTCTCCACTACTTCCACTTCTAGTACTGCCTAATCTGTTTCTCTCACACACATTTTCATGGGCTCCACTTCAATAACTTTCGTTTCCAACTTCTCTTTATGGATTTCGGAAACGTGGAAAATGAATGAAAATCTCCACAGTTGTCATGTCATATACGTTAAATCAGGAAATTGACCTCCACCTTGCCATCTTTATAAAAATGTGACTTATTCCACATTTTCCCCTTACAATATATAATAATAAATGATAACACTCAATAAATATAATAAAAATAAGAAAAGAAGAATAATAATGGTACAAAATGATTCCTTGGAAGTTGGAAAGCGATGTCTAAGTCATGCTCATTAGTACGAGCAAAAAAAGATAAACATGTTTTGGTTCAAGCTGTCATTGATCAAGTTACAGTTTACCAAAATTTCCAATATTTCTCTTCATATAAGCTCCTCCAAAATTGGTTCACAGGTGATATTTATACCCCTTGAGAGCACAAAGGTGATTACTATGTTATAATGTGCAGGAACAGGCATGTCGGTATTTAACATAGATACAAGTAAAAAAATGAAGTTTTTGAATTTCATACGTGACAAGTCCAAAATGGGACTTTAAGTAACAGGTTTAAGATGCATGGTTTGAATGGAACTGCATTTTTATTTTTACGCAGTTAATTAGGAAGAGGCTATTTAGCGGTGGTAAGAATGAAATTCAAGACATCACACTGTAAATGAAACTGCTTTATTTAAAAAAAATCGTGTAAAAATTGACTAAGCATGTCATCCT